AAAGTGATGAAACACCCGTTTTTCACCCCAAAGTAACAAAAAAGCCCTGTTTTAAGAGCAAATCGTGCTCTTTGAGCGTCCCCAGCAGTCTGATTGCCTGCTCGGAAGGGATGCGCTGCTTTTATTGGTCTCCCCTTTTTGGGCTCGGTTTGCCCCGACCGCTTTGGGGTTGCAGGATAAAATTGGAGCTTAATTAACTAGAATAATTAAAAAAATACCTTTTTCTGGGCGGTTTAACGTGTTTCACTCAGCTCCCGGGGCTGGCAACACGCGGGGGGGTTGTTCCCGCTTGCGGTTTTGTCTGATTTTTCACCGTTTCTTTGCAGTTTGGGCCGTTCCTGGATGCCAAGCACGAGCAAGTGGAGGTGAGAATTGGGGTGTCCCCCCAAAACCCCCGTGAGATCCACACAGGGGCTGATTTTTTTCCCCCAAAACTCCTACATCCGTGCGGATTTTGGGTTGATGGATCCGTGGTGCCGGACTCCGGGAGGGCAAAGAAGCTGGTGAAGGTGGTGGGGGTGTCCCGACGTCCTCCCTCTGCACCCCGAAAGAAGGAGGAATTGTGCAAATCCCATTGTTTTCCCTCAATCCATAGAACTGCCAGCTCCTGGGGTTCTTCGCCGAGGTCTTCAAGCTCTGCCTGAAGACGATAATCGAAGGGACGAGAAGGTAGGGACGGTGACTGCGTGAAGTTATTACAGTTTCCACAGGTAGTTTTTTGCCCAAAAATTCCTCTTTTGGCACCGAACGCGATCTGGACGGGGGGTTTCCACTGATTCCGGTGAGGGAAACAGGCGGCGGCGGGGGAAAATCATTAGATTTTGGTTGAAAGCCTCGTAATAGGCTCCAAAATGGATTTGAGGCACGTTTGCCTACTGCCAGGTGTGATTTACAGCTTCTCCTGGCTTTTCCCCCCCAAAAAAAAATCCGAGAAAAAAAGAACTGGGAACGGTTGACGGCGCTTCACCCCTCCCGGCGGTGCGAGAGACAGCGTGAACAAAGAACAAGCGAGGTTTGGGGTTTTTTTTTTTCCTTCCTGCCGGGCGCTGCCAGCCTCTCTCGTCTGCTGCCAGACTCCGGCAGGGACGGGGACGCGCTACCCTCGTCCCTCTCGCCGTCAACAACCCCGCCTGACGCCGGGTGACCTGTTTCGGGGGGTCGGGGACACCCCAAAACACCTTCACGCCCCTCCAGCGTCTCTCAGCCTCACCGCGACCTCCGCCTCTTAGCGTATCCAGGCCCTTTCCTTGATGTTTGTTTTCTAAATTCACTAAAAAGGCTGTTTTTAAGCATTTTTTCCTGCTTCTCAGGTTAGATGGGGACGAGGCCCCGTCCCCTGCACAACGGGGGAAGGCTGTATTCGCGGCCCGATTGTTTGTCACACCCTCCGGGGCTTCGATCCTCGGGAAAAACATCATCGCCTCGCAGCCCCTTCCCTTCACGCGGGGCGAAACGCCTCTCCTGCGAAAGCTGAGTGGCTTTTGGGGGAATTTCAGGAGATTTTGGGTCCTCCCGCTGCCAGAATGCCCCAAAATGGGCTATTTTGGAGAGTGTCCAGCTGTAATTTCTACGTGAAGTGTTGAAACATTCCTCGGCTTCCCCTGTTAATTAATCGCCTGGTTTTTCCCCTCTTTTTCCAACGGCGCCGGCTCTCAGCTTGTCTTTGTCCCTTAATCGCCTGGTTTTTCCCGGTTTTTCCCTCTTTTTCCGGCAGCGCCGGCTCTCAGCTCGTCTTCGTCCCCTCGCTGCGGGCCGTCCACCACGACTACGTCTACTAATCGCCTGGTTTTTCCCGGTTTTTCCCTCTTTTTCCGGCAGCGCCGGCTCTCAGCTTGTCTTTGTCCCTTAATCGCCTGGTTTTTCCCGGTTTTTCCCTCTTTTTCCGGCAGCGCCGGCTCTCAGCTTGTCTTTGTCCCTTAATCGCCTGGTTTTTCCCGGTTTTTCCCTCTTTTTCCGGCAGCGCCGGCTCTCAGCTTGTCTTTGTCCCTTAATCGCCTGGTTTTTCCCGGTTTTTCCCTCTTTTTCCGGCAGCGCCGGCTCTCAGCTTGTCTTTGTCCCTTAATCGCCTGGTTTTTCCCGGTTTTTCCCTCTTTTTCCGGCAGCGCCGGCTCTCAGCTTGTCTTTGTCCCTTAATCGCCTGGTTTTTCCCGGTTTTTCCCTCTTTTTCCGGCAGCGCCGGCTCTCAGCTCGTCTTCGTCCCCTCGCTGCGGGACGTCCACCACGACTACGTCTACCCGCAGCCGCCGTTCCTCTACCCTGAGCTGCCGAAGGACGACAAACCGGTAACGAACTCCCGTTCAGCGATTCCAGGTTTTTTATCCCAAAGAAGCTGAATTTCCAGGAAAACCCCACCTGTCCTTGCAAAAACGAGTTGCCAAGATTTGAGGTGAAATCCCCTCCCCTTTTTTTTTTTTTTTTTTTCCTTGGCATCTTTTTCCATCCGGCAGCGATTTCTTGCCAAAAAAAAAAAAATTTAAAATATTCCCTTTGGGAGCAAATACCAGCAAAGCTGTGACTTCCTGGAGGAGAAGGGATTTGGGAGCGGAAATCCGGTGGTCCCCGCGCCTCGATCATTAGGTCACGGCCTTCCCCAAGACGCTTAACGAGCAAACGGGGAATTAAATAAACGCAGCGAGACGGTGCCATCACCGGGAAACCCGTGGCGTTGAGCCGGCGCCGCGCAGAGCTCCTTCCTGGTCCTCACCGTGATCCTAGGCCTCTCCCAGCCCTTTTTGGGTTAAAAATCCCTAATTTAACTCTTCCTTTTTCCTCGGGAGCAGCTTCTGATGCTCCTGGGAGAAAGTCCAGCACGGCTGCAGCGTTTTTTGGGGCGTATTTTGGGTGTTTAAGGAAAACTTAGAATGATTGTGGTGTTTTAGAGTGGGCTTGGGGCGTTTTAGGGCTGGTTTAGGGGCGTTTTAAGGAAAGCTTAGGGTGATTGCGATGTTTTAGGGCAAGTTTGGGGTGGTTTGGGGCAGATTTGGGGTATTTGAGGAAAGCCCAGCGTGACTGTAGCATTTTGGGGCGGGTTTGGAGCGTTTTAGGGCGGGTTTGCGTGACTGTAGCTAACGCTAGCACAATTGTGGTGTTTTAGGGCAAATTTGGGGTGGTTTACAGCAGATTTGGGGTATTTGAGGAAAGCCCAGCGTGACTGCAGCATTTTAGGGTGGGTTTGGGGTACTTTAGGGTGGGTTTGAGACGTTTAAGAAAGGCTTAGCATGATTGCAGCATTTTAGGGCAAGTTTGGGGCATTTTAGGGAGGGTTTGGGGGCGTTTTAAGAAAAGCTTAGCATGACTGTGCTGTTTTAGGGCAAGTTTGGGGTGGCTTAGGACAGATTTGGAGTATTTGAGGAAAGCCCAGTGGTTTTGGGGCGGGTTTGGGGAGTTTTGGGGCGGGTTTGGGGCATTTAAGGAAAGCTGAGCGCGTTGGGGGCGTTTTAGGGCACCTTGGGGTTGTTTTAGGATCTGTTTTGCGCCGGCGACGTCAGGGTCGGCAAAGCCGCAGCCCGACCCGGCGTCACCCTCTCCCCCGCAGCGCGTGCACTTCGTTTCGGACCCCTGCACCCTGGAGGTCGACGGCGTCGTTTTCGGCCTCACCTCCACCGACCTGCTCTTCCACATGGGTGCCGAGGAGATCAGCAGGTGGGTGCTGGCGGGAAGCCCGGATTCGGGAACGCGTCGGAGCGAGGATCTCCCGCCGACAGCCAGATCCAGCCCCAAATTCGCGGTGTTGCCCCTCGGTTCTCTCCTCCAGCAGCTCGTTTTTTCTCCCGGCCGCAAAGCCGACCCTATCCCTCAGTTCCTGGCAGAGTGGCTAACGCGTCGTTAATTACGCCTAATTAATCAGCACAGCCTGCAAGCTTTTTTTTCCCCTTTTCCTCCTTTTCCTTAACTGTTTTACAGCTCATTTTCTCTCGCAGCTCATCCGGGATCTCGGACAGGTTCACACGAATCCTGAAGCACATCCTGACGCAGCGGAGGTGAGGGATTAGTACAAACACCCAGTCGAACCCAAAAAGGGCTTTTTATTGTGGCCAAATGAGGGAAATCCTGCACCGTTTTTGCTGCCTTCCCCTTTGATGTCATTTTTTTTAACCTAAAAAATGTCCTTTTTGGCTTTGATAATCCTTTAAAAACAGAATTCAGAGGGTTTTAGCACTGTAAGTCCTCTGGACTGGTGTGCATCAGGCTTCCCCGGCTGATCGCTGCCCTCAGAGACAGCAGATACCTGGGGACAGCCAAAAGAAGCAGAAATTACTCTTTCTACCCCAAAATTATCTGCTGGTTGTGCCCGAGACAGCGTCACGGCGCTGTTGCTACAGGCGAAGGCTGCAGTAACCTGTTTTCTCCCCTCTCTGACAGTTACTACCCGCTGTACCCCCCCTCAGAGGAGCTGAACGTTGACTACGAGAACTTCTACAGCTACGCCTCGTTACCCGTCACACCGGATGTCCTTGTCACCCCCTCGGAGCTGCGGTACTTTGTTAAGGTCAGTCGGTGCTCACGCCTGCTGAAATACCCCCAAA